AATTATTTTTAGCTGATGTTTTATGAATTAGCTGACAGGTAACAAACTCATAATGCATTTTCTGCAAACTCATTTTTTTTTTCAGACTTCTTACGAGGACATTACTTACTGCTTTACATTACGCACACTTTTCGAAAGCATTTCGTGTTAATTTACCATAAAGAAATATCCAATTATTTACTTAATTTTAGTAAATTTTTCATTTAGAGTACTAAAAGAAGATAAGAGAGCATTTTCTGGAAAACTTTCCTATTTTGTCTCAAATATTATTGCTTTAGTATCTTTGAAATAACCAATTAAAAATATAGTTATCATGTATTGATCTAACAGTCTCTTGTCTTGTTCTTAATTTTTATTACATAGCATGCGAATGTGTTATGGAAGTCATGTTTCACACTAGCTAGAGAATTTGAATAATATTTTAGCAGTAAATAGAACTTTTTATTAGAATATCAATGAAATTTGACAGAATTCAGTGTCTTTTTTACTAATTTGATTTTCAGTTCGAAGCAGACATATTCAGATATTATAGTCAAGGTATTCTATATGAATACTGTTCTACGTTTCATTCATTTTGAAATATTTGAGGTTTCCTTATGTTAAATAACCAGTTATTTCATGTTTTCAATCTGTCCTGTCACGTCTTCCTTTGTGTACGTCTAGAAAGAGTTTAGAGACTTTGGATGAGAGCTAAACAAGTTAAAATCTACAAATAATTTAATTTCCAGCGAAATTTTTATGTTATCCAAATAGGTTTGGTGATTTTCGCTTTTAAAACTGACTGACAAATTAGAAAGTAATTAAATGTTTCCTGAAAATTATGTATGTTTCGTTCGGAAAGATTACATGAGTACCCTCATTTGTGATCCCTTGGAAGTTTCTGTTCCTGAGCCGCATCTAAAATTTCGAGCATAAAATCTTAAAATTTCAGTTTTCACGGAATTTATTTGCCAATAACTGTAATGTAATAGTGTTAAAAAACGATTTTTAAGAAAATGCCTTATAGATAAACATTTAGACTTGCAGAGTTTGTTATTTCTTTTTACATTGCTATGACTACATGCAGTATTTTTACCTTGCTATCAGTGCAGTACAGTATGTAAAGTATTACAGAAATCTCTTTTACTGTATAATTACTAATTCGGTCAAAATTATTTAGTCTATCTGGTCAATACTAGTTTTAGCAGAAATATGCACGAGTTAATTATTTATAGTTTTCTTGTTAAAAAAAGAGCCAAATGAAAAACCACTTTTCCGAAGCTGATGGTTTTAGGATTGGGAAAATAATTCTAATGCCGCGTGCCTTTCTTATCAGACCCTTACACGCTTATCAACCGATTCCAGAGCATATCGTGACTCGTCTGTGAACAGGACGTTGCGCATATCTGAGACGGTCCATTTCAGATGTTGACGACATTACTTTAAGCTTACTCTTCTGAATTGGGCAGTTAATGGAATGAACTGGGCTTTTATGCAGGATGGCCCTCCATCCCATATTGCTACATGTGTGAAAGATCTCTTGCACACATTGTTTGGTAAAGATCGCGTTCCGTCATACTTGGCCTCTCAGGTCCCCAGATTTCAATCCGTGTGATTATTGGTTGTGGGATTACCTGAAATCGAAAGTCTACCGTGATCGTTCGACCTCAATAGGGATGCTAAGAGACAACATCCTACGGCCAACATCCTAATTTCTCATCATACCTACAAATATACTGCACAGTGTTGTTTGTTCACAGCATTGCTCCTTGATTACAGGTATTGTTGATGAATGACAACCGATATGTTGAAAATTTGTTATAAAGAACATAGTCTTTGCTAAAAATCAATTTTTATTTGCTAAAAATCAATTTTTATATTAATTATTGTTTTTATTATCATATGAAGTGCAATCTGTTGGCCGTTTTAAGCATTTTTTTTTTTTTGGTTTTCAATAAAACACCGTTAGTTTTTACCTCTCTACCTACATTATTCAGTGACTTATTCAATTTTCAAATTGTTACGGACTTTTGGGTCACCCGGTATATTATTTGTTTAACGCCCAGGAGCTTTATTTAATAGCCATTAGTCCTGCGTCTCTACAAGGGCTGGAAGTGGTGGCCATTTCATTATAGAAGCACATAATAGGGGAACACCGTTTCCTTCTATCAAGGGACGGACAGTTATAACCAAGCCTTTTTCGGGATTCGAACCCAGTCGATGTCACTAACCTCTATACCGGCTGTGCGCCACAGATATATTATATAAACACCCAATATAAACTTTACAGAATACCTTAAAGTTCGCAAACAAAAGACCATCTAGCTGCTGCTTAGAACGCAGAAATCCTCACTTGAGGTAAAACAGACTAGCAACTTGAAGTATATATATAAAACTAAACCAAAGATTTATGTAAGTAGAAAAGCAATGAATTTGCACTATCTTTTATTCAACCTTGATGTCGTTTATTGCACTGCCTGAGATCTGTAATCCGACACTCTCGGTTCTGTGGTGTAGAGTACACGTACCAGATCCTTAACTGGCATCTGTCCAGAAGGCAGTGTGACGGCACATCATCAGGTGACATCAGTTCCTTCATCTCCAAATCTTGCGTTGCTTTTGAGACGCTTTCTCCCCTGTTTCCTTTAGTAGGTCAGGTGACAGGTGACAGCAGGGCCGGACATCCGGACGGCTTTCAGAGACTAATCGGGTATAGTCCGCGACCCGCTCCATCTAGAGCATAACATGTTTACAACATAAAATACCTAGCTTTGCATTACCTACTCGACAGGTGGAAATTGCATGGCGAAATAACATAGCTCAGCATAGACATGACATGGCATAGCATTTCAACGTGACATAGTATAGAATATATTCATTGCATAGAGACATAACATATTTACAACATTAAATACACAACGTAATGTAACTTACACGACAGGTGGACATAGTATAGAGACATAACATAGTTAAGCATAGATAGCATAGGACATAGCGACATAACATATTGAGGTTACATATTTACAACATACAATTCGCAGTGTGGCATGACCTATGCGACAGATTTTTCTAGCTGGGGCGCATCCCCTTAACATGGATACTCCTCGGCTGCTGTATGGGCTTGTCGTCGTGGACTTCCTCGAGTTGAATTTTGAACCTTGATAGCTTATGGTGGAATCTCTTAGACCTCCTAAGACAGTTGGGTACTCTAGTTGCTTTGGCAATTATTTCCACTTATGATCAAGCTCGTTGGAAAATCTTTTAGATCTCCTTGGAAACTTTTGGATTGCTTTAATCTCCTACCTCAGGAGTGATAAAAACACCGGACACTGCGCTTTCATTTTCGCTGGGTTATAAGGCTTTATTGCTTCTCCTGAAATTTGAATTTTCGGACATTTTCTTTACTGCAGCGATAGCATTTCTCTTCAGTGCTTACTCAGACCTATGCCATTTTGCCCTTCTCTTTGCTCCGTGCAGATCTCTTTCCCTTGGTGCGTCCGCTGCTGACTTAGGCGCACTCGCTGTTTGATCTGGCTCCTAGCTGATTAACACACGATGGGTATGGCCGACTTTCATCAGTGACTGCTCCTAAAACTTCCCTTATTATTCCCTTATTCCCTCCTAAAACTTTTTTTTATATGTAACTGCAGTTACATATAAAAAAACAAATTAAGCCCAAAGTCTAGAGGGAAAAAAAACATTTTTTCAAATAACGTTAAATGCTATTACTACGAATTACTACATATTTTAAGTTTACTTATTTAAGCATATTAGACTATTATGATATTTAGAATTACAAAGTTTGCCAGATTTTTTACATTTGAACTTATCAGACTCGAACTGTCCCATACAAACACATCGCTGATATCCCTGACTTCCAGATAGAGATGTCTTTCTAGCGCATTCTCGAAGTGATATTGCTAGATCTGGATTAACAGCATGTTCTCCAGCTCATAGATTGGCTTAATCTGATCCTCATTTGCAGTGACTAGGAAATTACGTTTTCCTTTGAGATAACTATCGACGAAATATCATCATATCTATCGGTAAACATATTTTCGGACGCTGTTTTCGCATTTTGAACAACTCTTCCAACATAAGGAAAATTCTCATTTCGACGAAACCTTGTACTTGCTGTAGCAACTTCCGCAAAATTAAGTAAATGACTTTGCTATGTGAATGACTTCCTTTTACTTAGCTTAAAAACCTGTCATCAAAACTGACGACAGTCTTCACCGAAGTATGCATGGTACATTTGAGACATCCGAAACCTTCTCTAGGTTTTGTCGGGACTTGTAATCTAATAAGGGTTAAACTAAAGCTTGCCGAACCTCCAGGCATACTTTATTATGTGTGCTGAGTGCCAGTGTACGTGCTTAAATTACGTTAAAGGTTAATCTTTGGATCAGTGAAGACAATCAGGTGACTTATCATCGTTTTTTAAATTTTCAGTAAAATAACTCCATTGGTACAAGAATATTTAAAATAAACCTTTCGTCAATCAAACGGTTATATAATCTGTGCAATAACAGAAAAAAAGTCTTCCCTGCTTGTGGGATCAGTACAAACAGATTTAAAGTTATTTTTAAAGTATTAAAATAGGATATTTACAAGAAAAACACACTTACAAGCTGTGGGCCCAGGCCCTCAACTTACGGGAGCAATTACAATTAACAAGTTTAAAGTCGATGCAAGTTATTCGAAAGCTGCAAGAAATAATAACGAGACTGCCAGTGAATGCGGCCAAAAGCTCTCTTTCTCTCTCTGTCGAGATCAAGAAATCGGTTTTTAAATACATTAATTAATTGTCCTCCTGTTGATAGCCAACCAAAGTGTAGGTAACAGTAAAGGAAAATATAATAAGATAACGGATTAAAAGTATATAAAACTCTGCAAACCTACTTCATGATAACATTCTAATGTTTAATTTAAAAACGAAAAGTGTCACGAATTTGTTTTGTATTGCTACTCATCTTCGTTTTGTAATTTCAAAACTGAATAATGTTAATGTTTCCTTTTAGACATACATACACTAAGGTCATCCCACGTATCCTAAATAATCTTCGAAATGAGTATAATCAACGAGCCGGAGATTTCATCAAGAGATTCACACAAAAAGTGGTAAGTCTGTTTTTTCAAGCATATCAGTTTCTTTTCGTTAGGGGTGTCAGTAAATTTTTGCTTTCAGCTGGTAAATCGCTATTGTTGCATATATTCTCAAATTAAATTAAATTTAAAATGAAGCATTACATCTATTCATGAATGTTTCTGTACTGATTTTCTATTTACATGTTAAATCAGTTTTACTATTTCATTCCTTTCAGGTTGTAAATCAATATTGTTACATGTAGTCTAAAAATTAAAATGAAATATTAAACTTTGCTTCCAAATGCTTCTTTATTATTATTCTGTATACATAAAAAATATCTTTTCTTACATTGGTATTTTCGCATGTATTCGAGTATATCTGGGTTTAGCGATCCTCTAATTATATGAGGTAAAGTGAATCGGATAAATATCACAAACGTTAGTAATATTCAAAAATAATTTAAAAGTCAGAAATATTTATTTTATGACTGTTAAGTATTTGAGTAATCTAGGGGAAAATACTGAAACGAATTTACGCAATGATTAGGATTAAGATTTCTATTTATTTTGATCGGGCACATTTTAATTCAACTGTTAAATTGATCAAGCCAAATAAGAGAAATATACTGCCAGAAATCAAAAGATCATCATCATCAGAATGTAGAAATATGCGGTTTTGAAATTAAAAAGAGAGAAGCAACAAATCTTAGAAAAGTCAAAGTTCAAGATGGTGTATCTATTTTTAATCCCTATGTACACAAAAAATACATTAGATCAAGTGTATGAATCACTTGTCACGAAGTTCGTGACATATGTAGATGTCGATTAAACAGAAGTCAATTTACTGTTTGTCGACTGCATAATACATATGTGTATTTTCAGAAGTGACATATAAATATTGATTATTGTTTTACGAAATATTATCTTAAACACACTGAATTTCTAGAATTTCACTGAATTTTCAACTATAGTTCATATAAAAGTTGCTGCTCAACACTAAACTAGCTTAGATTTAAAGAAAGGTCAGGCGATAGCAGGTTACGAAATGTCTGTGGAGCAAGTTGCTCAATATGCACAGGATACAGAAAGCCATTATTATACCGAAATAGCACACTTACTATTTAATAATACGGCAATAAGAAGGACCATGAAAGGGCTTATATATACATGTAATAAATTCGGATCATTTTGTGGAAACAAACCAAACCCATATTCTGTGAGGAAAAAATCATTTATTTGCATTTAGATGTAAGTTTACTTCTTTAGACGTATAAGACTGTTTTAGAATTACAAAGCTTGCCAGGTTTTTTACATTTACGCTTATCATCATAATTCCCCAATTTAGTGGTGATTGGGAAATATCCAACTCGTTATGGTAAATGTAATAAATATCATGACTTATTGGGGCAGTAGAATAGAATGCAGGTTTTCTTTTTCTTTTTTTCTTTTTTTTTTTTTTTTTTTTTGAGTAGTTACTACTCAGAAAGATGTTTTTTCGTTGGACAATATGGCGTAAGAGACCACGAATTACAATATTTTACAATTAAATATCAATAAATGGTTAGTTTAGGTCACATACATTTATTTAGCCTGAACGAAATTTGAATAAGGGCCTGCCAGGTGTTGTGAAATGAAAAAAAAATGCAATTTACATGAGCTTGTACAAAACAGTTGCACATAAAAAAAAACTGCAGTTACATATAAAAAAAAAAAAAAACAAATTAAGCCCAAATTCTAGAGGAAAAAAAAACATTTTTTCAAATAACGTTAAATGCTATTACTACGAATTACTACATATTTTAAGTTTAATTATTTAAGCATATTAGACTATTATGACATTTAGAATTACAAAGTTTGCCAGATTTTTTACATTTGAACTTATCAGACTCGGATTGTCCCATACAAACACATCGCTGATATCCCTGACTTTCAGATAGAGATGTCTTTCTAGCGCATTCTCGAAGTGATATTACTAGATCTGGATCATCGTCATGCAAAATAAATTTTTCTTCACAAATTTCAATTGATTTCTGGTATACACTGTGAAAGTCTTCTTTGTGTTGTTTTTAACTGATAAAATTCTTCATTTTGAACTTCTAATATCACCGCTAATAAATTTCGGGGATCACTTCTTGCTCTGTCAACGTCTGGTATTCGTAGTTTCACTGTGTCACCAACTTTACCAGCTGGAAATTTAAGATTTGAAACCTTCAACATTTTCTTTGCTTGTAATTCTAAACCTTCTTTAGCACCCATTCTATGTTTTCTTACTTGCTCTTGCCTACATAAAATATCTGTCTCGATTAGCGTGACCGCTGCTTCATTCTCTTTCTGAGTTTTAAAATTAACTTCAGATAGAGGGTCATTTTGAAATAGATCTTTATTGTACATATTATAAACATTTTCTATTTCGCTATTGGTGTTTTCAGAAGTATTATTAACTGTCTCGATTAATGCCTGAAGCTCTTCTTCAGTTCTAAGATGTTCGATAGAGTCATTCGGGAATGAAGACGTTTTCAAGCCAAACTTTGCAGGCGTCCCAAGCATTGCTTCATAAGGAGAACACTTGATGCCTTCATGAAATGCTCTATTTTTCACAAGTTGCACAAAACGTAACCCTTCGGACCATTTATTGGTGTGATTGCTTTTCAACCAAGAACTTAGCATATTTCCAATATCCTGGTTTGCACCTTCAACCAAACCTTGAGACTGGCTGTGCCTAGGTTTTCCGTGCACAATTTTCAGATCCGGCCACATTGCACAAGCTTCTTCTACGATTTTGTTACTAAACTCACGACCGTTGTCACTTTGCAGCACACTAGGGGCTCCAAATATAGTAAAAATATCAATTAGATGACATGCAACCTCTTCTGCACGTTTGCTTTTTAGGGCACGCAACTGTACGAACTTCATCAAGTGGTCTAATAGACAAATATAAACTTAAAGTCATTATCTGGTTGCGACTGCATGTCAATTAGGTCCACCTGATATCTTGAGTTCATCTCTTGAAAGACCATTGGCCTAACAACAAGTCCTTTTTTAGGTACCTTGGTTTTTTTTGACAACTTTCACACAAATTTAAGTAAATCATGACTTCTTCGGTAGTAATGTTTTTGTACTTTTTTTAAAGTTCTTTTAACATCCTGTTTCTACCACCATGGCCTATTGATAAGTGTACGTCATGAATTAGGGTAAAAATTTCTTCAAAGTACGCATAAAATCTAACATTGGAGCTGTCTTCACTTACGGGAAAGATAAGTTTTTCAACATTGCCTACATTCATTACATCGTATCTTTTTAGTCTCTGATAATCTTCCGGTTTTTTTCCCACTACTTTTGTTTTTACTATTATTCACTTTTTTAACAAATCATCATATCTTTCTTTCATCAGAAAACCACTGTTTGTTTTCTTAGTATCCATAATATTAAGTAATTTGGAATTAAAACGCTCAAGCATACCAGCCATTATTCAATGTTTTATTTTTTACGAGAGGGTAGCGGAAAAACGTCTACATGCAACGAAATGAGAACTACTTCTGAAATCACGTGGTTGTCACGTGTTGATATAAGCCGAGCATTTGCTCAAACTGAACGAATTTTCGTAAAGTTAGGGACTTTTATCACATATCCCATTGTGATTTGGGGATTGCAGGTTTATAAACTAACCGGTAAATTTGATAAATATGAATAATTTATCATATTTACCAAATTTAGTGGTGATTATGTATAATCACTGGTAATTTTATATAATCACCGAATTTATTACTTTTACCGTAACATATGTTATACTTTTTAAAGCTTATCATACTTTCAGCTTTCTCTTCATCTGAAGTAATTATTTAAGATCTCTACGAATCCGTTGCACGCAACACTATGACAATTACCTAAAAGCAAGCATGAAATAAAATTACACCAGTTTCTTCTTATCCTTGAAATTCTGTAAATGATCTACTGTACTACACATTAGCTATCGCTTGATTAAGCTCTTTGAAATTTTGATTACGGAATCAGTTGCTTTATGTGAATTACTTGCAGTAATAAATATTTTCATTCTTAGTATTCTACTTTCAGTTTATGCTAAGTGTATAGTTAAAAGACTTTGGGCATTGTTATAATTCACTTTCTAAAATAAAATTTAAGAATGTATTGAGTATTTTCCTTATTTAAAAATATTTCCTGGAATGCAGAATTATTTTTCATAGTCTATTTTAATACAGTATTTTCTGATTCAAACATAATAAAAATATTAAGCTTCTAAGACAAATTTATATGTTTTTATAACCAAAAAAAAAAAAAAAAATCAAACGATCCGGTAAACTAATATATCTTCTCTGGAACTCGTATGCCACTTGCATGATTTACTTTAGCCGAGAGCCTGCCAGTTAAAAGCAAAGAATTTGCTAATGAAATTTGTTTCATACTTATGCAGCTCATGATTTAGTTTCAAGGTTGCGTGACATGTAGTTACATATCTGAATTCATCCTCAAATGAATTCAGGTAAAATGTTAAACGCATTATTACTGAAAAAGACCTGAAATGCACATGACTTGAGTTAAAATAATGTTTAGAACTAAACGATTGTAATGTTTCTCTTAAATAAACATGGCTGAGAGTAGCAAATGTTTTAACACTCGTTCAGTCCAGTAAAGTAATTGTTGAGATATTCTTTAGAAGTGACTGATATTTATAAAAGTTTTACAATGATAAATGTTATCATTCTTTTGGAAATTCGAAGCAAAAATGTTTTTGCAAATAAAATTAACAGTATATCTTTGTTTTGTTTAAGGTAAAAAAGCCTTCAATAATGCTAATCCAGATCTAAAATAGTGACAGTACATATTGCTGGCACTGAATCCGCTAATGTTATGCACTTTGCCAGCATCTTGGAGAAACTAAATTAGAAAATATTAAATGACATTAAATATCTCCTTACTTTATTAGTAGATTGAAAAAATGATCATAAAAATTACTGCGAAATTTTGGGAGTCTAGAAGAAGTGAGAGGTACATCTGCTTAAATGAAAATTAATATG